CTGACTGAGGCCGCCGCGAACCTTCCATGGCAAAAATCGGGCAACGAGTTTCCAGATCATCATCAGATCCAAACAAGGCCTTACACCAGGCTGCCTCAAAAACTGCACCTCCCACCTGGAGTACTGAATGAGTCCTCGGACGAGGTAAGTAGTACATAACATACAGTTGTAATAATAATAAATAATAATAATCATATTAGCACACGTAATCATAAGATTTTCATGCAGTTTGAGTAATAATATTAATTACTAATTGGTATATTAATTTTTTTGGCAGCTCAATTTCTTAAGTCCACAGATTACTACAGCTTCTGCTTCAAGCTCTAGGCTTCATATGGAGGCCCACGCTCTTTCTCTCTCCTTGTCTTCTTCTCTCAGAAACGAAAAATTGGAAAAATTCGGCAATCTCGGGCAGGTTTGGGATTCTCATGGATTGGGAGGTTTTGGGATGAGTATTAATCCGCAGCTGTTTGATAATAACCCCCAGAGAGTTTTGGGGTCCGATAATTATGGGAGTCGGGACTATTTCGGTCATTTTAAGCCCGGAAACTGCCTGAGGGACTCGAGCTATTTGAGGGCAGCGCAGGAATTGTTGCAGGAGTTGTGCTGTGTTTGGAGGGGGGCGCAATTGGGAGCTAATCCCAAGTTCAGCTATCTTCAGGATAACGGAAACCCTAATCCATCCTCCTCAAAGGATCAAACCTGCCCGTTGTTATCGCCTTCTGGAAGGGCTGAGCTCAACAGAAGGAAAATGAAGCTCTTATCTTTGCTTGATGAGGTTTCACTCTCACTCTCGCTCACACATACACTAAGCTCCAACAAAAAACTTAGGCTCAAAGTATAGACAATATCTTGTACAAAAATTCAAAATTGATCCTATAACTTAGCCACTATCCAAAAAATCACCCCTATATTGACCACTTTCAATTTATGTCCTATAATTTGTCGATTTTATCAATTTTGGTCCTTTTCTCATGCCACGTCACTTTTTAATCCAGGGTACGGATAAAAAAGGACCAAAACTGATGAAATCGACGAATTATAGGATCTAAATTGAAAGTGTCAATATAGAAATGATTTTTTGGACAGTGGTCAAATTATAGGACCAAATTTAAAATTTTACCCAAAATCTTGTATGCGGTGGCAATAATAGTCACCATCTTTACGAATTTGCAATAGTAGCCAACAATCCTTTAAATTTTGGGGGTTATTACCCGAGTTCGACCAAATCTGACGGCTAAATTGCAAAGTATAGCAAGTATTCTTTTATACTGTAGCAATAATAGTCGTCGAATTTGGTCGAACATGAGTAATAACCTCGAAATTTTAAAACTTGTTGGATACTATTGTCAAGAGATAATGATGGTGACTATTATTGCCACTACATATACAAGATATTGACCATATTTTACAATTAAACAAAAAATTTAACCAATTTGTTTTTGTGTAAATTTTTTGTTTCCTTTTTTCCAAACTCAAACTCTATGTGTATAAAATCACAATTTTTTGCTTTTTTGTTTGGGGCTTAATTGTTTTATCTAAAGAGGCTCATTAATTAAGTACATTGGTGTGAAATATTTAGTAATATTCCTAACATGATCATTATTTTAGGGTACATTATTGATGCCCTTTATCATGACAGGCTACACTTGAGGGTACATGTAGAAAAGGAAGAGGACATGACTGCTTTTAACTTAGCTCAAGATTTAATAACAAGGGCTGCTACTTTTACTTAACATATATATATAGAAAAATGATGATGGAATATATATATATATATACACATATATACGAAAAACTATTATTCATGAATAAATGTCTTTATACTTTTAAAATTTCTGACTATTTTGTTGCACAACTGTTTTGATTTCTGCAAAAAATGTCACATATTTCACTGTAAAAGTAGATATATGTCGAAGAAGCCAAAAATTTTGATCATTTATGCGCACTGCATTTCATTTCCGATTCGTGAGATTACCAGTTCATTAGAATTCGGTCCCATCGTTATATCAGCTCCATTATTAGTTAACCTTTGTTCTGTACAAATTTTTAAACAAATACTTAGTGGTGAATTATTGAAAGAAGTAATCTGATCAGATATGTTGTTGCCTGTACGAGCTGGTGGTGGTGTTATTTAAAGTTTAAGCAAAAGGTCTTGTCAAGTACTGCTTTGAAGCTTTATAAGCAATTAAGTGTCACTTATTATAGATGCACCTACCAAGCTATAATTATGTATGACTATAAAACTTACTAATATTATTCTGCAGTTAAGATGATTACTAATTAGGTACGGAAACCCATATAGAATTTGCTGTGTTTGCTTTCCACATGCAATGAATGCATAATTAATAGTAGTAAAAGTAATTAGTGTTGCAACTTTATTTGAACATTCTTTCTGCCGGAAAAGTTTGTCACAATGCAGGTTTTCAAGTGGATACCTCGTGCTACACATCATATATATATTCCAACAGCTTGATTTATTTATTATTATAAATAAAAAAAATATCCGTAACGGAACCGTAGCATTTCCTCATACAGAAATTCTATGTAACAATCAGATGGCCCCCTTATGGAATCATCCATAACTTTATGTACTGATACATGTCCAATGTGCATTTATTGCAGGACACGTGTCAATACATCATTTGTGAATAATTGTGGATAGGTCCATAAGCCGAGCCATTTGATGGCTCCATACCAAAATTGTTTCCCCATAATATGTACTCACCATTGTTCTCATTTCATTAATTAATTAATATGAAAAAAAAAACTAAATAATTAAATACAATCCTCCCTCAAATATTATTAATCTAATGCTCGATTGTCCCTGATGTACGTATCAGGTGGACGTGCGATACCTGAAATATTGCGAACAAATGCAGGCAGTGGTGGGGTTGTTCGACTCGGTCCAGGGGCAAGGGGCGGCGACCCCCTACACTGGGCTTGCTCATAAGGCCATGTCCAGGCACTTTCGATGGATGAAGGATGCTATAGCCAAGGAGCTGAGGGCGAGCTGCGAGGCTCTCGGGGAGAAAGATTTGAGCAGTGTGTCGATTGGGTTGACCAAAGGTGAAACTCCGAGACTAAAAGTTCTCGAGCAAAAGTATAGGCGGCAAAAAGCCCTTGAGCATCACGTGGGCATGATGGATTCCGAATCTTGGAGGCCCCAGAGGGGATTGCCCGAGAGATCCCTAAACATCTTGAGGGCATGGATGTTCGAGCATTTCTTGCATCCGTACGTAATACTCTCTTTCTCTCTCTCTAAATATATCTAAGTTCATAACTTAAGACAGTTTGATCAACTCATACCTAAATATTCCTAGTATGTGTAATATAACAATAAGAAACTTGCTGGTTATCCACTTGTTCAATTTAAGACTTGTCTATTGCAATGTGTATGACCCAAGACTCCCAGGAAGCTCCGTTGATAAGGTTGGTCGAGAGGTCAATTACCTCTCTCCTCTCCCGAACTTCTATAACTAAACTTGTCTTCGCCAATATTTCTTGACTTCACTTCACTTCGTACTATGTTTGGTGAGTAATGTTTCAAAAATGATACAAATTGCAACATAACTTATTATTTTTTATTAAAAACAAAAGTTTATGTACTAAAATTGACTTTAGATAAATAAATGGACCAAAATTGAAAAAATTCCAATTTATGACATAGAACAAATCTAGAATGGACTCGGACAGACAAGAATTTAGGGGGGCCTGGGCAAATGCCAGTCTTTCCACCACCCTAACATTATATTTTGTCTAAACAAGCGGACTATTAGTCCTGGATAAAGTTAGATATTCATACTTTTTAAATGACAAAATATATGCTTACTTTCAAATTAGATATATACTATACTTTGAAAAATAAAATAAATAAAAGATGACATTTAATAGTATAAGTATATGCATTTTTACTAAATAAAGTATGACGAGTTGACCCGTCTAAAGATTAGGCAGCTAAATCTTCTTATAAATTTGTGATTGTAATCAGTTTTAAATATCGATCGCCATACCTTTTATTTTTTTTCTTTATGTCACGTATATTCTTATCTTTACAGTAGTTTCGATCATTATTTTTTATATGCATACATTTGCTTGGTTTTTGCACTGATTATTGTACTAATTTTTGAAACAGAAAGCTTTAATAAAAAAAAAAAAAATATAAGATTTTTTTGTATTTGTTTGATAATAAGGAGTGCAGTGCTGCAGGTACCCGAGTGAAGCAGACAAACACTTGCTGTCTCGACAGACTGGTTTATCCAAAAATCAGGTACTCATTATATGTATTATATATATCTGCACTGCTGCTATCAACAATTCGATGTGTCATATCTTCTATCTTTTGATAGGGATATTTCATTTCTAAGCTTTGGTTTGCGTGAATTATTTAATTATATATCCCTCACATATATATGTGTGTATGTTTGTATTGTTGGTAGCATTAGTACATGGTTTTTGGTTAATTAATTAGTTGGGTGGATGATCATGCAGTCACAAATTTGACAAGTTAATCGTAATGTGGTTATATTAGAACTTAGAAATGTCCATTTGATCTATATATGTGATAGAATTAACCTTAGGCGAAACAAATTTTGATTTTAGTTACAGAGCATTCGAATAGTCGAGAATCAAACCGAAGAGCGAAGCTTACCTATCGGATTAATCATGTTGATTGGTTGCTTTAGAATTGAATTGGATTTTGAATTTGGGATTCTGAGTTCTTTCAAATAAAAGACCGTGAACTATATAGTCTCTTCTCCTCTGACGTAAGAGAAACTTAATGAAGAGCATTGGGGGCTACAATTTTTTGGTATCTCTTAATAAAGAATCCCAAATGTCTCTTTGTATTTTTCTAGGTATTTAAGTTTAATATTATTATTTGTTACGTCGTCACCCAATAATAATATTATCGTGTGTTCACATTTAATCATTCCACAATGTATTGACCAATGTTTAATTACACATTTAATCTATCTAAACAATATGTTTTAAACATCTGTGAATACTTCAGCTGTCATTCATCTCTACCAATTGTATAATTAAATAATTAACAGTGTGTGCTTTCTATAAATTGGTCAGTCTGCCAAAAAATTGTTTTGCTGAATTTTGTACTTTTTTTTTATTTTTTTTTATTTTATGGAAAATATATTTGCTAAGGGCAAAAGACAATCATACTTTCCCCACTGATCATTTGGACGAACCCATTTGCCTGCATTTAATGATTACTGAAACTGAAAAAAAAAAAA